TTTTATTATTCATATTTTTTTTTATCTTTCTTCTTCTTCATAAGAAGTCCCTTTAACATTTCTTGTAAGACTGGTTTGGTAGTGATGAACTCCTTTAGCTTTTTCTTGTCTGGAAAGCTCTTTATCTGTCCTTTGATTCTAAATGATAGCTGTGGTGGGAAGAGTAATCTTGATTGCAGGTCCTTATTTTACATCATTTTTAGTATTTCGGGCCAATCTCTTTGGCCTGCAAAGTCTCTGTTAAGAAATTGGCTGAGTCTTATGGGAGCTCTTTTGTAGGTAACTAATTGCTTTTCTCTTGCTGCTTTTAAGATTCTCGTTGTCTTTAATCTTTAACATTTTAATTATGATGTGTCTTTTTTTACAGTTTTATTGAAATATAATACACAATTAGTTGCTCATATTTACATTGTACAACTAAATGAGTTTTTCGATTATAGCTGGCATACAATAATATATTAGTTTCAGTTATACAGCATAGTGATTAGAGATCTATATAACTCACAAAGTGATCACCCCACTAAATCTAGTACCCTTTTTTCCCTTACCACAATGTTGACTATTTTCCTTAAGCTACATTTTATATCTCCATGACTATTTTGTATCCATTTGCACTTCTTAATCCATTTGCCCTTTTTCACTGTCACCCCAACCTCCCTTCCATTTAGTAGCCATCAAAACATTCTGTATCTCTGAATTTGTTTCTATTTTTGTTGTTTATTTTGTTGTTTAGATTCCACATGTATGTGAAATTATGTGGTATTTGTCTTTCTCTATCTGACTTCATTTGGTGCAATATCCTCTAGGTCCATCTAGGCAATATCTTTTTCCATCCCCTTCCTTTTAGTCTGTGTATGTCTTTTAATCTGAAGCAAGAGTCTTGTAGGCAGCATATGTAGGGACTTGTTTTCTTATCCATTCAGCCACTCTGTCTTTTGCTTGGAGCACTTAATTCTTTTCCATTTGAGATACTTGTTGATAGGAATGTAGTTATTACCATTTTTTATTCATGTTTTTGACACTTTTTTTCTTCTTAAGAAGTTCCTCCAACATTTCCTAGAATACTGGCTTGATGGTGGTGATTTCTTCAGTGTTTTTTGTTTGTTTGTTTGTTTGTTTGTTTGTCTGTCTGGGAAGCTCTTTATCTCTCCTTTGACTCTAACTGATAGCTTTGCTGGATAAAATATTCTTTGTTGGAGATCCTGGGTTTTCATCACATTGAATATTTTGTGCCAAGCCCTTCTGTCTTGCATAGTTTCTTTTGAGAAATTAGCTGCCAGTCTTATGGGTTTTCTCTTATAAGTAACTAGCTGTTTGTCTCCTGCAGCTTTTAATATGTCTATTTCCTTCACCAAGTTAAATTGCTCTTCAACTTCTTGTTTTCCTTCAGGTATCCTTATGACATGGATATTTTTACATTTAATTGTGTCCCATAGGTTCCTTAAATTATTATTATACTCTTGGCTTCTTTTTTCTTTCCATTCTGATTGAGCGTCTTTGGCTTTCCCATCCTCTATATTGTTGGTTCGTTCATCTTATTTATCCAATCTGTTGAGTCCTTCTAATATACTCTTCATTTCAGATAATGTGTTCTTTATTTCTGATTCTCTTTTATAATTTCCATTTCAATTTTTATATTTTTTATCTCTTTGTTAAAGTTCTGAGTTCATTGAGCATCCTTATCACCAGCGTTTTGAACTCTGAATCTGGTAGATTGCTTGACTCCATTTTTCCTGGAACTCTGTTCTGTTCTTTCATATGGTTTGTTTCTTTGTCTTCTGGTTTTAGCTACCTTTCTGTGTCTGTTTCTATGCACTAAGCAAAGCTCCTAAGTCTCCCAGTCTTATTAGTGTGGCTTTGTGTAGTAGGTGTCCAGTGGCACTGTCCTAAGAGGGGTTCAGCTTCAGGCAAAGTTTAGCCCCCACCTGTGCGTCTCTGGGGCCACCTTTTAAGATTCAGCCAGCAATCCACAAATGCTGTATTTATAGTTGCTTCAAGAGGCCACACCAGAAACCAAGGTCAGCTGCTACCAGTGTGGGTCTTGCAGCTGCTCAGCAAGGGGCACAGGACACACTGAGGACAAAACTGGATGTGGCCTGGGTAGGTCTACAAGTTGAGGCAGGCGGAGTTTAGGGAATCTTCTGGGCGGAGTGACCTCTGTTATTCAGTTTGATGATGTCTCAGCTATGGTGGCACTGTGTCCACACATTGGGGGCAGGGAGGTGGGGAGGCTCAACAGAGGAATAATGGATACCACCAGCACTTATACCTAGGAGAAATCCTTACCTCCATCCCTTTCTCTAACAACTCAGTGTCCCCATGTAAGTCCCCGATGCCCCCTGAGCAGCTGACCTGGCACTGATGCTCAGAACTAGTGAGTCTGTTAATCCAAAAGTCCAGTCGTGGACACG